GACCTTTTTTTGCACTAGAAGAATTTAAAGCAGAATCTGAACATCTTAGGATCAACTTGTCAAAAAAAAAGGCCTCAACAAAAAATTTTTGGTATTTTTGTTGGGATAATATGAAATTTTTAAATTAACTTAAGGAAAACAGACATTTTACTTGACATCTTCTTATCCAAAACATGGTAGGTTTTTCTATTTGTATAAATCTTTTGTGTGCTTTGACAATGTTTTAAAGTTTTCTTTATATAGATCTTATGTATTTATTATTAGTTTATTACAAGATATTTTATCTTTTTGTGTTGCTACTGTGAGTTAGGTCTTTTCTATTATATCTTCTTTCTGCTTGTTATTTGTAATATACAGCTTTTTATAGTTTCTCAATTAATTCTCTTGGGGTTTCTAAATATTCAATAATATTGCTACAAATAGTAAGTTTACTCCCTTCTTTGGAATTTATCACTGATTTCTTTCTCTTGTTTAATTGTATTGTCTGTATTATTAAATAACAGTTGTGATATTAGGTATTCTTGGCTTGATGACTTCAACAATGCATTAGTGTCCCACTGTTATCTAAAAAATTACCTCAAACTTGGCAGCTTCAAACAACACACACACATCTATCAGCTCAGTTTCCATGTGTCAGGAGCCAGGGCATGACTTAGCTGAGTGCTCTGCTCAGAACCTCATAAGGCTGCAATTAACGTGCTGGCTAGGTGGTATTCCTTTCTAAAGCTCACAGTCCTCTTCTAAGCTCAAGTAGTTGTTGGCAGAATTCGATTCCTTGTAGTTGAAGGACTGAAGGACCCATTTTCTTTCTGGCTATCAACCAAGGGCTATTCTCATGTCCTAAAGGCTTCTCATAGTTCCTTGCCCTGTGGCCCTCTCAAAATATGATGGCTTATGTCTTCAAGGACAACAGAAAAATCTCTCAGGGAAAGCTTGAATCTTATTTTAAAGGATTTGCCAGATTAGGTCAGGCTCATTCAGGATAAACTCCCTTTTCAATAAATCAAATTTAACTGGTTAGGGATCTCAATTATATCTATAAAACTCATTTACCCTTACCATATTCATTGGTTAGAAGCAAGTCACAGGTTTTACCCACACCTGGGGGGAGATTAAACAATGGTGTGGATACCAGGGGGTGGAAATCATGGAGGCCATCTAAGAATTCTGCCTACCAGTAATGCTAATGTTTCCAGAGTTTCCCCATCAATATGATACTTACTATTTAGTTTCTATCTATTTATTGAGTTAAAATTAAGAATAGGTGTTGAATTGTGTGAAATTCCTTTTCAATGTCTATAGAAATAATCATGATTTTTCACATCTATTCATTTACTAATATTGAAACTTTCTTGCATTTCTAGGATAAACGGCACTTGTATTTTATTCATTAAATGTTCTGCTGTATTCTGGTTGATAACATTTTTTAAGAATTTTTGCATCAATATTCTTAAGTGTGTGGTTTGGCTTTTCCTTTCCTATGTAATGCTGGCAGGTTTTATAATCCATGTTATGCTGTTTGCCTTAAAAAAATGGAAAAGTTTTCCTTCTTTTTCAATACTCTTGAATAACTTAAAAATGATTAGAATTTTTTTGTTCCTTAAAGAGTTGGTAGATTTCTCTATGAAGCTGTCCTTGTTTTGAATGCAGCTCTTTGATATTTTTCTAAATTTTTTACGGAAATTAGCTTATTTAGATTTTCTGAATGCAGTCAGCTCTCCATATTCATGAGTGTCACATCTGTGGATTCAACCAACCATGGATCAAAAATATTAGGAAAAGAACTGCATCTATACTGAACATGTACAGACTTTTTTTTTCTCATCATTAATTCCTAAACAATACAGTATAACAGCTATTTACATAGCATTTACATTGTATTAGGTGTTATAAATAACTAGAGATGATTTAAAGTATACAGGTGGATGTGCATGGGTTATATGCAAATATGACACCAGTTTATATCAGGGACTTGAGCATCAGAGGATTTTGGTACCCACAGGAGGTCCTAGAACTAATCACCCGTGGATATCAAGGGAGGACTGTATATACCTCATACAACTGTATTCAGGAGGACAGAGACTCATAATTCTGCCAGCTTGCCTTTCATCTTCCTTTTTCTGGCAAGACCAAGAAACCCCTATTGACCAAAGGATTATACTCAAACTCTTTCACATAACCCTCTTACTACCTTTCCAGTCTCATCTTTTAACACTATCTACCTCAATCTCTGTACTTCAACAACAATGCACTGCTTATATTTCCTGGCCCTCTCCTTATCTGTTTTATACTTCTATGCCTTTTATTCATACGATTCTACTTGCCCCCTTTACCTTTGTCACATAGCTCTATTTTATCCTTTAAGACTCATCTCAGGCAGCCTCTTTTCTGGAAGCCTCCCTTCTTATTAAGATTTGAGTTAGCTATCCCTCCTCTACTGTTTTGAAATACTGATTTATAATGATATATGTCTATCTCCTCCATTAGAATGTGAGGTCCATGAGATCAAAGACAGTGTCTTCCTACAGTCCTAGTATATTTCACAGTGCATTGTGTATGATAGGTGCTTCAGAAATGATTTTTGAGTGAGTGAAAGTATGAACGTGGAGAGGGCTAAGATGAAATGAGTAGTTGACTTCAAGTATTTGGTGGGTTTTCATAAGGAAGAGACTTGTTCTCTTTACTACATAAGGTGGTACTAGGATCGATAAGTGAAAGTTATTAGGAGGCAGATTTAAGTTTAAT